GCTAGGACTCCAACAGGCACTCCTATAAGGGGTGAGGACATCCCAAATGACAACTTAACCTGCTACTCCGCAATGACTACCCCTACACTTCTTTTAATTCCATTTCTTCATGAACTGTTTGAAGTATCCTTGTACTAGTTTCTCTGTGCCCCACCAAAAAAGACATAAAAGTATCTACACTTTTAAAAAGAGAGAAGAAAATAATCATACATTATTTTTTTAATTATAAATTTTTATTTCATTCATTTGAAAGGCAGAAAGGGAGATAAGCAGACAGACATAAGATCTCCTATCTGCTGCTTTATTTTCCAAATGTCTGGATCAGACAGACTGAATCAGGCCAAACCCAAGAGCTGGGAACTCCATCCTGGTCTCCCGCATGCGTGGCAGGTCCAAGCTACTTGAACCGTCAGCTTCTGACTCCCGGGGTGCACATTAGCAGGAAGCTGGAGTTGGGAGTGATGCTGGGGCTCACACACAGGCACCCGATATAGGAGGTGGGCTTCTCTAGCAGCGTCAGAACTGCTTTGCTATACTCTAGTCCCTCAGGAATATTTGATGCCACGTCATGTCCTCTCTCAATAGTACATGCTTATTTTATTTTTTAAAAGATTTATTTATTTATTTGAAAGAATTACAGAAAGGCAGAAGCAAAGAGAGAGAGGTCTTCTCTCTGCCGGTTCACTCCCTAAATCGCCACAATGGCTAGAGCTGGGCCTATCTGAAGCCAGGAGCCAGGAGCTTCCTCCAGGTCTCCCATGCAGGTGCAGGGGCCCAAGAATTTGGGCTGTTTTTTATTGCCTTCCAAGGCCATAGCAAAGAGCTGAATTGGAAGTGGGAGCAGCCAGAATTTGAACTGGTGCCCATATGGGATGTCAGTACTGCAGGCAGCAGCTTTATTCACTATGCCACAGCGCTGGCCCCCTTTTTGCTACTTCAATGCCAAGCCTTTTCATAGGAAGAGTTAAATCTCTTTCCATTATCCCCAAAAATGTAGGTAATGATGGATTAAGCCTTAGCCATTCTTGCTCACTGCCCAAAAGATAGATAAACATTGGAATGTATTCCTTGACCTTGAATCTCAATTGGATCTCACACCTTATTGCTTTCATACCCCACTGCCACAGTCACCTGAAAGACTAGTTGCTCAAACATTTGAAGGACCAGTTCTAGGAATTCCCCTCTGCCTGCTGCTCCCTACGCCCACCCCCATCCCCAGGCCTCCTAAAAGGCCGGGCCTCTTGGGGTTGGGGCCTTCTGCCACCTGTTCCATCATGTGGTCACCCACCTCTACAAATTTATTTTCTCTGAATAAATTCAGCCTGGTTGTAAATTCATACACTGCCTCCCCTCTATCTGCGCCTCTTTTCCTAACATTTATGGTGCCCTGTGTGAGGAGACACCAATCCGCAACTCCTTTCCTAACAGGTAACAAAATACAAAATTGAACAAGGTATGTGTTTAATAAATGAATACATAAAATCACCATTGCATTATTCATAATGACTGCTTATAAATGTTAAGTCATCGTAAAGCCTAAAAGTTTCTTTTTAGTTACATAAAATGTACAGATTGCCTTTAGGTAAAAATATAGTAATTATTAAAAAAAAGAACTTAGGGCTGGCATTGTGGCATGGTAGGTCAAGCTCTGCCTGGGATGCTGGCATCCCATTACATTTTTTCAGGAAGTGGAAATTAAGATGGTAAAGAAAACTTGAAAATTTGGCCTTTCTGTGAACATCCAGTGTTGAAACACCTTCCTAGAAAAGAATGAACATGGAGCAGGTATTGTGGTCCAGCAGGTTAAGCCACCAATTGGGACACCTGCTTCCCACATCCCGGAGTGCCAGTTGGAGTCCTGGCTCCTCTGCTTCCAGTCCAGCTCCCTACTGATGTGCCTGGGAAGGCAATGGAAGATTGCACAAGTGCTTGGGTTCCTGCCACCCCTGTGGGAGACCTGGATGGAGTTCCTGGCTCCTGGCATTGGCCTGGCCTGGACCTCACTATTGAACTCATTTGGGGAGTGAACCAACGGATAGAGAAGATCCTTCTCAATATCTCCATCTCTCTCTCTCTCCCCCTCCCTTTCAAATAACAATAAATCTTTTTAAAAGAGTGAACAAACTTAAGGACATGAGGAGAGAATTTTCCACTGGAATGTGAGAGCTTGCTTTTGTGAAGGCTTGCTTTTCTGAAAAGGTTGTGGGTAGTAGTTTTCCTACGGACTTTCTCAGTTAACTCAGAACTAAACAGAGGAATGCCGAAGCGCAGCTCAAGTGATACCCAGTCTGTTTCTGTTGTGGCAACATCAGAGTTCTGTTTTGTTTTTGAAGCCAGTTGCTTCCTCAGTGACTGTTTTAAATGACTCTGCTTTCAGTTGCTCTAAGCAGGAAGTCAAGCCACGTTCTGCTTTCTCATCAGGGACATCACGGAACTTTCTGTTTGACTAGAAGCATATGGCACCGCCATATTCCTGCCGTCCACGTCCACTCTGTACCTTCATTTTTGCAATGCTTTATGAACCCCTATTGACACAAGCTGAGTCTCCTTGTAGCTGGTTCTGTTCTACCTAACGGAAAAGGTTTCTCCCATCCTATTATTCTGCACAGTGAGCACCTAGGAAGTAGAAATTACTTGAGGTTGGTGTGATTCCAAGACATAATAATAATAGTAATAGCAACCCTGAAATACAGCCCACAGGTTTTAACGTCTTGTACCCTTGAACGGTAAAGGAAATGGGGATCTGACTTCTAGGGGTGACTTCTGATAACTGGTCTGACGTGCTGCAGGGTCCTACTCTGATGAGCTAGACTCACTGGTGAGAGGGGCTGTGGGAACCAGCAGGGTTTAATTTTTATTGAGATCTTTGCTGCAAGTCACAGCATCTGTGTCTGGCTTGGACTGCCACAATAAAACACCATGGGCTGGCAGGCTCAGACAAGAGGAATTTATTTGTCATAATTCTGGAGGCTAAGGAATTCAAGGTCAAGGTTCCTGCCAATTTGGTTTTGGGGTTGGAGGGCTGTCTTCCTGGCTTAATGATGGCTGCGTTCTCGCCATGCCCTCACATAGTGAGGAGAAAGAGCTGTTGTCTCTCTTCCTGTCATCATGACACTAATCCCATTATGGAGACTTCACGTAATGATTGCATCTAAACCTAAATACCTCCCAAAGACCCCTCCTCCAAGCACTATCATGGTGGGGCTTAGAGCTTAAACATAGGAGCTGAGGTGAGGGGTACACACATTCAGTTCATAACACGTGGCTCCTGCAGCCCTCGCTTTCTTATTCTCCATCTTTCTCATTACTTCCCTATAAGTCTACAACTCAACTATTCTGACGGCTGGCAATTCCTTGAATGCAACCTTGTCTTGTTTCTGGGCTTTTGCTCAAGCCATGCACAAGGCATTCCCTCTGCCTGGAATGACCTTCACCCCCCTTCCTCTGCCTGGATAATTCCTATTTGTCCTTTAGGTGTCTTGCTCTAGGGAAATTTCTGGTCCCCAAATCAAGTGTCCCTCATCTTTGTACCTACTCTCAGGCAATTTGTCCATATTTCTATTTATAGCTTTTATCACCTTGTTTGGTAAACAGTGGTTTGTGATTTCTATTTCCTGCCCCACCATCCTCCGCCCCAATGAGTGCCTTAAAAACAGCGCTGGTCTTATTCATCTCAGAACATTGCAAAACAGGTGGCTTTTTTTTTTTTTTTTAGGATTTATTTATTTATTTATTTGAAAGGCAGAGATTCATAGAGAAGGGAAAAGAGAGAGAGAGAGAGAGAGAGAGAGAGAGAGAATCTTCCATACCCTGGTTCACTTCCCGAATGACCACAACAGCCAGGGCTAGGTCAGGTCTAAGTTAGGAGCGTCATCCAGGTCTCCCATATGGATGCAGGGACCCAAGCACTTGGGCTGTCTTCCACTGCTCTCCCAGGCGCATTAGCAGGGAGCTGGATCTGAAGAGGAGCAGCCAGGACTCCAGTGGGCACCTATATAGATGCTGGTGCCACAAGTGGCAGCTTTATCCCCTATGCCATAGCACTGGCCCCAAGAATCTTAGATTATCTTGTGATTTCCTTTATTGAGTCATCATCATTTTGCCTTGAAGAAGTAGGGAATGGGATCTCGTATTTTGTCCCGAAGCCTCAGAAGACCTCCCACCAATCTTGCTTTCTCTTCTCCAGAAGGCTGGACTCAGAGGTTCCTAGGCTCCTGTTCCAATCAATACACCTTGTACAAGAATTTATTCCTCCCTCTCTGAATGGTACCCTCCAGCAGGGTGGAGTGTTCAGGTTTGTGTAGAAATTCATGGCAGACTCAGTTCCTGGCCCCTCGGAGCTCACACACTGAGAGCAGGAGATTGAGAGTGATGTGCCCACATTGGTCAAGTCAAAGGAGAAATTTTAAAATGCAAGTTTTATTCAGAAGCCAACCCAGACATTAAATCAAAATAATCTTTTTGTTTGACCATTTGCTTTGAACTCTCCAATCTGAGTATGTAGCTAACATCAGGGGGGTCACTTGAACTGGGGAAAGTGCTGAAGGTGAGTGGGTGTTCTGGTGCGCTGGGTGTGGTGCAGCCCTGGCGATGAGCCTGTGGAGGAGGGGTTGTCATGCCCACTTCTCTGTAGGACAGAAAGGGGCAAGGAGCCTCCGCGGTTAGGGTGCCAGTAAGTGTGGAGTTGAGGTTTAACTGAGCTGTGTCATCAGAGCCACATCGCGCTGCAAAAGCAGCAGAAGGAAAAGACCCTGGCATCCTGGGAGTCAAGCGGCATCACGTACAGTCCTCCGCTTGGGTGAAGGTGACCTGGTTCAGGTCTGCCTTTTGCAGGAGGAGGAATTGGAGCTCCAAAAACCTGCAGTCGAAGGGAGGATGAGAGAGAGGGCAGCAGGAAGGGCAGGCCTGGGGGACCAGACCCGGCCCAGCCCTGGCAAACAGGAGGCCTGGGGTGACAAAGGAAAATTCTGTCCCAGAAAGAGAAGGCCGAGAAACAGCTGTTTTCAATCCCACACCTGAGGTGTGACTTCCTTTATTGAGTCATCGTCATTTTCCAGAAAACCTGAGTCCTGCTACCCCAGGCACTCAGCCGGGCACCCACCCGGCTCCCCAAGCCCCACAACCCTTCAAGGTATCTCACGATTGAGCCAGGGAGCAGGGGCTGCATGGGGGTGGGCTCCCGCAACTTCCCGCCATCATCTGCTGTTCTCCCCAGCCCTCCACGGCCCTATTTCCTTTTTTTTTTTTTTTTTTTTTGACAGGCAGAGTGGACAGTGAAAGAGAGAGAGACAGAGAGAAAGGTCTTCCTTTTGCCTTTTTGGTTCACCCTCCAATGGCCGCCGCGGCTGGCGCGCTGCGGCCGGCGCACCGCGCTGATCCGATGGCAGGAGCCAGGAGCCAGGTGCTTTTCCTGGTCTCCCATGGGGTGCAGGGCCCAAGCACCTGGGCCATCCTCCACTGCACTCCCTGGCCACAGCAGAGAGCTGGCCTGGAAGAGGGGCAACCGGGACAGAATCCGGCGCCCCGACCGGGACTAGAACCCGGTGTGCCGGCGCCGCTAGGCGGAGGATTAGCCTAGTGAGCCGCGGCGCCGGCCTCCTATTTCCTTTGGTGTCACCTCTAGGCATCTGTGTCTTTCCAAAACATCTTTGCTGGCAATTTCCCTCTGTCCTGACAAAATGTGTCCCAAGGCTTTGTCCTTACACGTGGGCACTTCACAAAGTTCATGAAAAATGCGTATTATGAAAAAGCTATGCATATATTTCAAAATTTTTTGCACCAAAATAAATTTATATTTTAAATCCACTTTTCCATGGTGCTTCTTGAAGTACCCTCATTTATATTCACACAGAGATTTTGATTTTTTTTTCTTTTGAGATACAGAGAGCTCCCATCAGCTATTTCACTCCCCTCCACAAATGCCCAAATGGTCAAGACTGCGCAGGCTGAAGCTGGGAGCCAGGAACTTAATCCAGGTCTCTCACATGGGTGGCAGGACCCAAATACTTGATCCATCATCACTGCCTCCCAGGGTCTGCATTAGCAGGAAGCTGGAGTCATCAGGTAGAGCTGGGGATTGAACCCACTAACTCTGATGTAGGATGCCGGCATCTTATCTTAACTGGTGTTTGGTTTAAAGTGCTTTCACGCCCAGCTTCCCATGCAATCTTCAGAGCACCCTGGGAGGCAGTGGGGGGAGGTATTATTAGTCCCAGTTCACAGGACAGGAGGCTGAGGCTGCCACCTTGATTCTTCAATGTCCTCGGAGAATCTTTACAAGCCTCAGCCTCACACAGACACAGTGGGGCTTCTTTGGCACAAGTTCAAGGTTTTCCCACATTTCCTAGAATCCCAATGATTCTACTTGATAAATACATTACACAGACAGGTGCTCCATATGCGATGGTCACGGCTGCAGTCACAGCTCTGTGTTGGCATCTAGACTTTGTGGCTGATTTTCAACTGAATTGTGGGCTACTCCTGTCCCAGCAGTCTTCCTTCTCTGTAATCCATCATCTCTTAGATTGTCCAGGGTACACAGGTTTGCAAACTTCCATTGTATCCAAATGGATCTGTTTTGGTTTATCTTCTTCTGCCTAAATGTTAGGCATCCAATCTAATGAGTTTCAAAAATTAATATAATTTATTCTCCATCTTGTCAGTGCCAAATAAAGGTGTTCTTAAGAAAAGCACTGAAGATCAGTACCCTTCCCCCTTCTACTTCTACCTCTTGAACAGTTCTGTAAACAGTGTTTGCGCTGGGGTCCCTGCCCCTAGATCCACTGCTTTGTTCCATTCTTGACTGGCTCCGTACAAGTTGTTAAGTACCAAGTGGCCGCCTGGGGCTCGTTCAAAACGGAGGTTCCCGTAGCACGGGGACTTTCATCAAGGCCCTCTTCAGCTGTTCATAGCTTACGAACATCATCACATTCCAGGATCCCAAACGCAAAAAGGAGGGTGTGAATCTGATGAGAAAAACAACCCAAACATTAAGAAAGAGACCACAAAGAGAATGCTTTTGTCCCTCTCCCGCCCTGGTACCCAGAGTGAGTGCCAAGGTATCTGCACTGCCGGTCACCAGCATTTCCTGAAATCCACTCGGTCTCTCTCCGCTCTTCTGAGGGGATTCAGGAAGAAGTTGGGATCGGGGAAGGAGAGAAGATGAACTAATTCTGAGTCAGGTTGCTGTGCCAGGTGGTTAATTCTCACAGGATTCTATAGGGTCGCTGACTGTTGCCAGGTGGTCTGTGTGTGTTTTAGAGACGGGCCCACAGCTAGTTGGTGGCCACCTGTGGAGTGGACCAGCAGATGGAAGATCTTTCTCTTTGTCTCTCCCTCTCTCTGTACTCTTTCAAAAGAAAATAAATAAATGCATCTAAAAAATGGTGCCAAATGGTGAGGTTCACAGGGAGGAGGGGAAATTTATATGCAGGTGTTGGGGAGGCGGTGGCGTATGAAGTGTCTTGAAGGAGGGGCAAGATTTGAGCATGCGCAGGGCAAGGGGCAGACACTGCATGCAGAGGGTGGGGTTACCCCGGAGGCACAGACAGGAAAGTGGGCAGAACACTGAGATCCTGAGGGAGGCGCCTCAGTGGCCATCAGGCTGTGACCCACAGTTGTGGGCGGAAGTTGGGAAAGAGAGTCAGGAGCGCTAACCTCTTTCTCTCCTCCCCTGCTCAAGAAGCCTGGAGGGAGGCAGTCCCTGTCCCTAGGTTCCCTTTCCTTGGTAAGGCTTCCCTAACTCTCCAAAGCAGCCTTGGTCCACCTATTCCCTTTTCACTCGCGTGGTTCTTTGTGCTTCTCCTTGGTGGCACTGCAGTAGAACTGTTCACCTCAGCGTGCCCAGACACGGGGGCACGCAAGGAAAGCAGGGAGAGCTGGACTCGGGAGGAGGAGGAGGCTTACCCCTTGTAGAAGGCGGTGGGGCCCTCCTGAGCCACCATCTTCAGCATGCAGTCCAGGGGGCTGAGGTACTGGCCTGGAGGGGAGTTCATATACCGAGTCTTCACCACGTCCACTGGTGAGGCCACCACTGTGGCGCAGAAGCCGGCTCCAAAGGCAGAGACAAAGTGGCAGGGGAAGTTGTCTGCCAAGGGAAGGGAAGGGAAGTACGACACGTCATGGAGGAACACGGGACACATCCTCGGTTCCGCGCGTGCTCATCCTGTGTCCCCAGCTCAACCTTCCACTCCTGAGAGTGAGGACAGCGTTCTCCCTCTCACGGTGCCCAGGGCCGAGAGCGCTTGGAAAGGTAGAACAGGGCGTCCCAGAGCTGGGAGTCAAGGTACAAGGAGAAGTGGTGCTGGATCAGAGCCCAGCTCCCCGGCCGTCCAGCCCAGGTTTCTTTACTACCTATCACTGAAGAGGCCAAGGTCACCGTGGGAGAAGGACAAGCTGCGGTCCTCTTGGTGGTTTTAGATTTATTGATACAAGAAAGCCAGTGTTTCCTGGTGATCTTGCTGATGATCTCTGTATTCTTGGAAATCTGTGAGAAATGACCTCTGCTCCAAATGACCTCACTGAGGTTGAGCTGTTGGATGGACTTGATCCTCCTAGAGTAATTCAACCCCCTCTGATGCATCAGTTATCTGCAATAAAAACCTAGAGGGAACCCAAACTGTTGGGTGTGTGGTATGCAGTTAGACCTGATGTAGGGATAAGAGGTCCTTGGGGAAGGTCTTCAGTCTCCTGCTATAATTCACTAGAGGGTATGTTTTATTATAGACTAATGACTTGTAAATAAGGGCTAACAACTTAAGTGGCTGAGAGAAACACAAACAGTGGTAAATACCTTAGTTTGTGCAGCCTGGTGGAAAGAACATAAAGTAATTACTGAAATCAGTGAGTCCTAAATGAGCTACTAAAGTTAAGTAGTAGTGAAGGGTATGGAAAGGACATGTGTAATGAATGGGTTTGTTTGAGCAGGGTGTTAATGCTTACTAGTAAAGTTAAACTAAAACGTAATTGTAATCAATTGTTATAAAATTAGAAGTAGATGTTCCAATTCTTTGCAAAATAACCACTGTTTTTTGTAATCGATTATTATATAATTTAGCATCATTTTGAGTCTGTTCTATTGTATCTCAAATATCAAGTAAATCTTTAAAATCAAAGAAATTGTTACATGGCTATGGAAATCGGGATTAGGGAGGGGGTTACATGTAATAGGAGATCAATGGTTTGAAGTGGATGGGAAACAGCCTGTTATTGTAAAAAAGAATCATTAACTCTGTAAGGATCATTTATGAATGGACATTTGCAAAATTTATGAGATCAGTAAAGAATGTGTAAAATGAACAGTGGGTATAACTTAGGGTATAAAAATAAAGTCTGGCTCTCTCTCATCAGAGCCAGGTCATCAGCCTTGCTGTGAGCGCGTCTCTCATTCCTCCCTGCGCGGACGTCTCCTACACCTTCAGGAACCCCTGGACCTGATGGAGCTGGGCTCCGGCAGCACATCACAACACTGTACCACATGCATTTCCACTCCTGCTAAAGCGCCCCTGTCTCTGGGTGTTGCCCACTCTGCCCAGTAAGGACAGTCTGCCTGGAGCTCTGGGCCTCACCTGTGAACAGGTGTGAATCCAGCAGCTTCTCCTTGATGATGTCATAGGTCACCATCTCGGCACAGTTGACAATGGCGTTCCTCGTGATGTTGGGCAAAGTTCCTGTTAGGAAGGTGGCAGGGGTGGTGAGTAGGGCAGAGGGGCAGTGGACGAGGCCACAGGTCCCGGCGAGGGGCAGGTAGTGCCCCCAACTGAGCAGGTCCCACATCTGCTCTCCAGGGTCAGCAAGTCTGGATGACCCACGTCCTCCACAGCGAGAGAGCACGCAGAGGGCCTGCTGTGTTGGGTGGGCCACATTTTGGAGGATAATCTGCAATAGCTCTCAAAATTAAAATCCGCCTCCCTGAGACATGGCTGCCACCAGAAACAGGATGTCATGTTTGGAAGAGGGAGGCTGGGCTCAGGGGACAGTGACAGAATACGGTGCTGGCAGGGCCCGGAAGGATGGGGTCCCAGAGGAAGGCTCTGGGCGGAGACCTAGCAAGCAAGTGCGCCGCCAGGGCCAGGACCCAGGCATCTGCCCTTAAACTTCCCTGGGCCACTGCTCCTCCTGTAAGTACTCGGTCCCCATGTGGGAGCCATCTGGTGGCCACCGGGCAGTGGCGTAGAGAACCCTCGAGTCTTTGCTCCCCAGGAAGTCCCTTCCTGCCTCTGCATGTCCGGCACCCCAGTCCTCACAGCGGTTCTCTGTGGGTGCCCCCTGGTTTCCTCCCCGCCCTGGGTGGAGGCGCTTTCCTCCCAACCTCACACCCCAGAGCCGGCTCCGCCTTTGAGGCCCAGCCTATGAGGGCTGCCTGGCCTCTCCCGGCTCTGGCAGGACACCTGGCACAGCTGCCAGCCCGAGTGCAGAAAGGGTCCTATTTTTGCCCACCCCCTTCCCCTTCCTCCCCATGGCCTGCACAGGGTGGAGGCACCGTGGAGGCCAGGGAGTTACTTGGGCAGGGATGTTCTTTCTGAAGCCCTGCAATACACAGGCGCCCGGGAGGCCCCGCCCCCTTGCCCGGCCCCTGTCCCAGCCCTAAGGTCCGTCTGGGAGCCCAGGCCTACCTTTCCACAGGCCCCTGACGCCTTCCTCCCTGGCGATGGTTCTGTAGGCATCCATAGTCCCGCTGTATTTCCTGTCGCTGCGAGGCCCAAGCTGCACGCTAGCCTGGAATCGGACCTTCACCACGTCCGTGGGCTGGGCACAAGTCACCGCCATGGCTCCCGTGGTGCAGCCCGCCAGAATCCGGATAACTACGCTCGAGTCTGGAGGGGAAGGAGCAGGCGCAGCGCGTGTGGGCCGGGGCCTCGCTGCTCGCTGGTCCCTGAGCAGGTTCCCACTGCCCCACTGCCCCCGCCGGCCTTGCCTCGAGGTCTGATCCGCCCTGTGTGGTCCCCTGACCCCACACCCCAGGTTCTGCCTCTGCCCACTGTCCTGGTGTCCCGGGCCCCCGGCACTCACGGTCCGCCCCCTTGGGGGTGTAGAACTGTTTGACGGAGTCGTAGAGGCCGATGCGGATGGAGGCGAAGCTCATCTGGCGCTGCAGGCCGGCCACCAGCCCGTTGTAGGGGCTGCGCGGGCCTTCGGTGCGCACCATGGTCAGGATGGTGCCCAGCACGCCGCGGTACCGCACGCTCTGAGCCGCCAGGGCCGCTGAGTTCTCTCCCTGGATCTGAGAGACGGCCACACAGGTGAGGACTTGGCAGCCAGCGGCCACGGGCTGGGTGCGCCAGGCGCTGCCTGGGGCCTGGCCACCTCAGTGCTGCCATTTCATACAGGTTAGTGGCTCGTCCAAGGTCACCTAGTTAGCCTCTCGCCTTGCCCTTGCACTAGGCAATTTACAAAGCAGAGTAAGCCAGGAAGGCCAGGACACATCACACCAGGGTGGGGGGTGTTTGTGATAGTTCTTGTTGGAGGGGGAGAGGGCAGCGGGGTGGGGTGGGGATGGGGCGCCCTGGTGCTGCCGCGGTAGGGAAGTAGCCCCTTCTTTGCTGGGAACAATGACCCTTGGCCGAAGGCGACCTACCTGCAGGCGGACCTTGGCGGTGTCCAGCGGAAAGGTGAGGAGGTCAGCAAAGCAGGCCGCGGTGCCCGCCCCCAGGAACTTCACGGTTGTTGTGGGGGGCACGTCTGAGGGCTTCAGTCCCACCATGGTCCCAGGTCTTCAGTCGCCCTGTGCCCCCAGGGCCTGGTGGGGTGTGAGGAGAGAGGCTGCTCGGCAGCCCAGGGCTTCTGTGCAGGGAGAGGCTGCAGGAGACAGACCGGGCAGGTGCATGGAGCCCGAGCTGCCCGCCTCGCTCCCAGGCACCTGGACAGGCTATGGCCACAGGCTGGCCTGTGTGAAGTTGGCCTAGTACAACAGGCCGCTTTCCCAGCCTGTACCGCGATGCAGGCAGGGGTGCTGCTGGTGTCCTCGCAGGATGAGCGTGCCGAGGCCTGGTTCTAACCACACACACAGCCTGCCCCCCAGCGTCCCGGCAGAGGCCCTCCCTGCTCTCGCTGCTCCCGGAGCTGGGCCGGCCTCCTGCCTTCAGACTCTTCTCCCCACTGGAATGAAAACCCCTGCTCGTGACAGCTCAGCTGCTGTTCACCTTGGGTGAAGGCTTTTCTTTTTTTCAAGGCTGGCTGAATATACTTTCTTTTTAAAGGTTTATTATATTTATTTGAAAGTCAGAGTTAGAGAGAGAGGTAGAGACAGAGAGAAGAGAAGGCCATCTTCTTTCCTATCAGCAGGGAGTTGGAGTGAAGGTGGAGCAGCCGGGACACGAACCAGCACCCATATAGGATGCCAGTGCTATAGACTGGGGTTTTAACCTGCCGTACCACAGCGCCGGACCCCTGAATATACTTTAAAATTTTTTAAAAAAATTTATTTGATAGAGAGAAAGTTCACTCCCCAAACAGGCACAACGATTAGGGCTGGGCCAAGCCCAAGCCAGAGCCAGTAACTGCAACCAGGTCTCCCACATGGGTGGCAGGAACCCAAGGACTTGAGCCATCCCCTGCTGTCTCCCAGCACATAAGCAGGAAGTTGGAATTGGAAGCAGAGCTGCAACTTGAACTTGGAGATGCCATCTGAATTAGGATACACCTCCCACCTTCCCCACTCCCCCACAGTGTGGGATTCCCTCTCTGTGACCAAAGACCTCTTTAAACCCTGCAGCACGCAGGGGCTGGGGGTCTGCCCCTGGAGGAAGGAGGGAGCCTGGGCCTGTGTTGACTCCACCCACCAACGCCTGGGGCTGTGTCTGCTGATCTGCCTGGTTCCACACCGGCACCTGCACCTGCCGTTCTCTCCTCACAGCTCCAAGGCTGCTGAAGAGGATGAGCTGCTCACACTTCGGAGGACCAGTCTTGGGGTCAAGGCGATGTGCTTTCTCCCCTTGTCCCGTTAGAGCACACATAGGCCACAAGTATACAGCATGTGCGTGCACGCACACACACACACACACACATAAAGGAGCGTGCTCTCCTGCCAGCCCTCACCTGACTGCTGGTTAGCCTGGAGCATTTGACAGGTGAGGCTCTCGGTTTAGTGTGGTCACCACCGGGAAGTTGGCACACGGTGAAGGGCAGCCCCGTGTCCCTACAACCCGGACTTGTGCACATCAGGTGCTTGTGCTGATGCCCCCTGGGACCCAACTCCCCCCCCCCCCCCCCCGCATGGTGCACTGAGGTCCTGACACATTGGTGTCCTCAGCCATGGGGCCAGCGCTAGTCCCAGAACTGTCCCAGACCGCAGAGTGTGCATGGCTTCCCCAGGCTGCCCTCCCCCTGCTGCCGCCCGCTGCCCTTTGCCCTACATAAGTGCGCTGCCAGGTAGCTGGGCTCCTTCCCAACAGGGAGGCCCTGGCTCCCCTGGCGGTGGCTGGAATGCCCCGGGTGGTATGTGCGGGAGCAGCTGACTTTCCCCAGGCCCACATCTCGGTAGCGTCTCTGCCCCAGGCTGTGGCATTTCCCTTGCCAGTGTGCCTGTGAAGTGAGCTGGGCAGCTCGGGCCCAGGCATCATGAGGGTGGGGCTGTGGCTCTCTCAGTTGGGAGGCCCTGTCTTTTGATGGGGGCAGCAGTGTCCCTCCCTGAACTTCTGTGTGGGGGCCACCCAGACTCTAATAGAAGACCCCTACAGGCTAGGCACCTTTGCTGCACTTCCTGAGTTGCAAACTGCAGCCAGGCCCTGGTATACCGAATGTTCGTGCTGTGCCGGGCCCAGCAGGGAGCTCTCCCCGGCTGTGCCTCCTGTTGAGGTCAGGTCTGCCTGCCGGGGAAGCCTCTGCTCCCCCCTGGCCCAGGGGCCTCCCACCTGGCTGGTCTTCCCTTCTGACCCGCCTTGCCCCCAGCCACCTCTGCCCCTGCACCTTCTTGTGGGAGTAGCTCACCGAGGGCAACAGCTCAGACAGGGGCAGGACCCACTTATTCTGCTTCTCTGTGAAGCCTGGCTCAGGCAGGCAGAGGGGCCAGGGAGGACCAGAGCCCCACTTGCTGACGTGGGGAAATGGGAAATGAGATCAGAGATGACCGCAGGGGTCTGTGGCAGAGGGCCTTGAATGCCGGGGTCAGGTGACCCAGGTAGTGGATGGGGGTTTCTAAGGAGGGGGTGAGGCTGGCAGGCCTGTGTTTACAGCGTGCTGGTGCAGGTGCCCAGGTTTCACTGGGAGGGGGAGATGGGAAACTCAAACACCAGCAAGGACATTGTCAGTGCCAGCAAGAGGTGTGTTGAAGCCTGAACTTGGTCAATAGCAGTGGCCGGGGCAGGTACAGCTGCTGCCTGCAATGCTGGCATCCCTACGGGCGTTGGTTTGAGACCCGGTGGCTCTGCTTCCAATCCATCTCCCTGCTAATGCACCTAGGAAAGCAGCTTAAGATGGCCCAAGTGCCTGGGCCCCTGCACCCCTGTGGGAGCCCCGGATGAAGTTCCTGGCTCCTGGCTCCTGGCTCCAGCCTGGCCCAGCCCTGGCCACTGCAGCCTTTTGGGGGGAATGAACCAAAGAATGGAAGATCTCTTTTTCTCTCTGCCTCTGCCTTTGTCTTTCCTTCTCTGTAACTCTTTCAAATAAATGAAATAAATCTTAAAAACCAAAAAAATAAAGCAGTGGCCAGGGGTACGGCTGCCTCCTGTTCTAGGGCAGTCCTGGGCTACCCATGGCGAAGGGGCACAGGCTCAGGGTAAAAGCCCCGGCCTAGGAGGAGGGCTGCAGCACTCTCACTTGTCAAGCTGGGGGAGAAGGGGAAGCCACAGTGGTGGGCACGGTAGGGGCTGCCTTGGCCAGCGCTCCCCAAACTCCTTCTCCCTTCCCTCCCACCTCCTGGATCGAGGCTTGGGAACTCCAGCACCAGTGGACCCTTGCCCTTGGTGCTTGGAGGAAGTGAAGCATGGTGTCCTCTTCCCCGTAGCTTTGTTGGGGTACTGGAGGGATGGGGTGCTGTGGTCCGCACAGCCAGTGCTTTACAGAACACGTGCTGATTCAATCCCTTTAGAATCTGCTACCGCGTGGTGCTTGCTACTACTGTCTCGTTCATAAACAGGGAACCTGAGGCTTCGGGGGCTCCAGCTAGTCATGCGGCTGAGCGACAGAGCTGAGGTTGGTGCCCATGTCTGTGTGGCACCTGCCCTTGGGCCTGTGCCACTGCCCAAAGGGTCATCGACATTTTGAAGAGCTCGGGCTGCCCCCAGCTGCTTGTTTGCAGTGGACCCGCAGCCCTTAGCCCCAGACAGCCTGAGCCAGGGGGAGCCTGCATGACTCACAAGTTCCCTACTCAAGAGACATCGGCCCAAGACCACAGTCCCTCCCACTGCCCGCCACCCCAAGGAGGTAGCCTGGGCGGTGACCATAGCTCCGTGAACCTCCCAGCACCGTCCTGCCATCCCACTCAGGAAAGGGGTCTTGGGACCTTCCACGGGGGAGGGCTTCCTGCTCTAGAGCTTCTGGGCCATTTCCTGTCTCTGGGGAAATTGCAACCCCCAGCAAGGGCAGCCTGAGGGGAGTCTAAGACCCCGGCCTGCCCTAGTACCTGCCTGGGGTGGGGGGGCTGGGCTGAGCCTTAGACAGATCTGCTGTGGCAGGCGGTTCCCCACGGCCTTGGCTGTTGTCAGCCTCCAACGAGAGGGGGAACAGGGAGAAGGGAGAGGGGAGGGTGAGGACGGCAGGGGTGGGGCTGGAGAAGGGGTCTTACCTGTGAGCCTCGCCAGGGCAGGGGCAGCACGGCGGCTGCCTAGGGCTCCATCCCCGTAGTGGGCAGCGGGGAGCCGGTGGACAGCCCTCCTTGCCATGCACTGTTGCCTCTGCCGCCTCCAGCTTGGCACCGGGCTTTATCGGCCAGCTGACCTGAAACCGTACCCCGGAGAAGCTGAGTGACAGTCTGATCACTTGACAAGAGGCAGGCTGGTGGGGACAGGGAAGTGACATCCACATCTGCTCCAGTTCCCTGGACCTGGGGCCCTGAGGCTGTGAGGGGCGCGCTGCCTCTGTGCTGGGGGGGGCGGAGGGGGGTGGACCTGTCACCTCTGAGGCCAAAGGTCAGACCTCCCACACCAGCTGGGCGGGGCTCTGCTGGGCCTCTTCCTAACAGAAAGGATGACAGCTGTCATGTCTCCATGCCCACTAGGCGCTAGCTATGTTCTATACATTCACAACCCTGTCAGGATCTGAACTGTTTTTAAAGGTTTATTTATTTGAAAGGCAGAGTGTCAGAAGGGGGAGAGATAGAGTGGTGGTGGGGGGATCTTCCATTGGCTGGTTCACTGCCCCAGTGGCTACAACAGTCAGGTCTGGACCAAAGGCAGAAGCCAAGAACTCCATCTTGGCCTCCCCAGTCTGCTGCCTTCCCAGGTTCATTAGCAGGAAGCTGGATCAGAAGTGGAGCAGCCAGGACTTGAACCAGACACTCTGACAGTGGCTTAGCCACAATACTGGTTCTTAAATGATCTCAAGAAACAGATTTACTGAGATGTAATTCGCATGCAGGACAAGTCATCTGTTTAAAGTGTTCAAATTCAAATGGGTTTTAGTTCTATTCGACTCCTACAGCCAACAGCACCATCTATTTTACAGCGTCTTCATCACTCCCCAAAGCTCCAGGGCACCACCTCCCGGCCCAAGGGGACTGTGAATCTCCCTCTTACCTCTAGAGATTTGCCCATTCTTTTGAGATTTTACTGTATTTATTTAAAAGGCAGAGTTAGAGAGAGAGAGAGAGGGATGGGGAAGAGAGAGAGAGGTCAGTCTTCATCCACTGGTTCAATTCTCAATTGGCCACAATGGCTGGGGCTGGGCCACACGGAAACAAGGAGCCAGGAGCTTCTTTTGGGTCTATCACACACAAGCAGAGGCCTACTGTTTTCCTAGGTGCATGAGCAGGGAGCTGGATCCAAAGTGGAGGAAGCCAGGATTTGGACTGGCGCTCACATGGGATACCGGCAACTGAGGCCATGGTTTAACCGGCTGCACCACAGCCCGTTTTGCCCGTTTTGACCATTTCCCATGAGCAGCATCACCCAGCAGGTGCTCTCTGTGACTGGCCTCCTCCCCTTAGCAGAGCAGCGTTTTCCATCTCACGCACGTTGTACCATGCATCAGTACTCGTTCCTTTTTACTGCTGATGACCATGTAATTGTAATGCTTGTGGCCAGCGCCGTGGCTCACTTGGCTAATCCTCCGCCTGTGGCGCTGGCACCCCGGGTTCTAGTCCCGGTTGGGGCGCCGGATTCTGTCCTGGTTGCTCCTCTTCCAGGCCAGCCCTCTGCTGTGGCCTGTGGCCTGGGAGGGCAGCGGAGGATGGCCCAAGTGCTTGGGTCCCTGCACCCGCATGGGAGTCCGGGAGGAAGTATGGCCACTAGGGGAGTGAACCAACGGAAGGAAGACCTTTCTCTCTGTCTCTTCTCACTGTCTATAACTCTCTCTGTGTCTCTTTCTCACTAACTCTGCCTGGCAAAAAAAAAAAAATTGTAATGCTTGTTTTACAGGGGGGAAGGGAAGTCTCAATGAGGGCCATGACTTCCCAGGTCACACAGCTGACAGGTGGCAGGGCCCCAGCTGACGCTGAGCTGCAGCACGCATGCTGCTGGGACCAGAAGAGGCTGGGGCAAGCCGGGAAATATTCCTGCCACGGTAACCACGGGCTCCATCCACACACTGAGGGTCCCTGGGACTCAGGCGACCCAGGAGAGGAGCGGGAGGGGAGGTGAGAAGGGAGGGAAGCAAAGGGAGTTAGCTGGGTGGGGCAGAGGATTAGGTAGAGGCCATGTCCGGAATTGGGTCCGGAGCCATGGTCACAGGGCGAGTGGTCAGAAACCCAGGTGCTCTAGTGTGTAGCTTGGGCTGTACCTGTCCCCTTCCTTGGACCACGTCCTGTCCTTGCTGTGTTACTGATGCCAGGCTCATAGCTGCTAGGGCTGCTGAGGTTAGGGGAGCTCAGCAGGTGGATTCTGAGGTCCAGCTGCAAATACTAGCCTGGAGGTGGTGGGGGGAATTGCAGGGAGCTTGCAAGGGAGGGATAAACTGTTGGAATCCAAACAAGGCCCTGGAGAAACCTGGAAGGGCAGGGGCTAAGTTTGCTTGGACCTGGGAGCCGCTTGAGGGCAGGGCCAGACCCGGCTTTTAGGGGCTGGGATGCAAGTAGCCTTCTGGGTGAGCAGCAGCCTAGGTCTCTGTGGAGGGAGTGCTCAGCAGGAAGTGGGGAGAAACTGGGTGGTTTGGGAACAAGTGCCTTCCTGATAACCTTAGTCCATGCTGCAGGCTGGGGTACGGTCCTGGTCAGTAACACACTCTTCCCCAGCGTGGGCGGGAGATTTCAGACCCTTAGTGTGCCTGGGTCATCAGACGCAGCCCTCAGCCTGGGCTAGGTGCAGCCCGTGTCCTCCCGTGACCTTATCCGTGACACCCAACAGGTTATTTACAGGAGCTGGAGCAGGGTTTGGAAGGAATGTTCTTCCTCTGAGCTTCACCCCTCAGGCGTGGGCCTCTTGACTGCCCTTCTGTAGGTTCCTTGAGCCCCATGGGAGGTGGAGTCTGTGGCCTTGAAAACTCTGAGCTGGCCGGGGAGGGCGTGGGCTGGCAGCCTGAAGCCTAGGAGCCGAGGCAAATAGACGCAGGGCAACAAGCGGGCGGAGGGCACCCGCCCCCTCCGCAAGGTTCCTGCATCACTCTGCACGGAGTTCTTCGGCTTCTGCCTCTCCACTGGTTTGCTCCAGCAGCGTGGGTGGGGCTGACATTTCCTAAGCTGCCACCGGGTGCCAAGTGCAGGAAAAGCACTTTCACAAATGTCTTACTTGATCTCGACCACAACCCTGGGGACACAGCTGGGTTATCAACAGTGGCCGCTCTCTTCTCCATCCCTAGCTGCGTGTGGCCCAGGGCGCCCTCCTGCTCCCCCCTATAGCTGTCCACAACCTGGCCAGCTCTCTGGGCCCACCCAAGACAGGCCTCTTCTAGGAAGCCCTCCCTGACTGTTTGAAGTGGCCCTGATCGTTCCCCCAGGGGTTCCCTGAATTCAGAGCACCTCCGGGCTGCGCTGTTTTGATCACTGACTGCAGCAGCCTTACATCTCTGGGGACCACTGCCCAGCTGCACAGACACAGGCCAAACACTTCACGCTTCCTGGAGCCTCAGTTTCACTGTAAGAGGGGCAAGGGACCGCCCAGGTGAGAGGCTGCTCTGAGGCCTGAGTGCAGTGGCACCGCTTGGGGATGAAAAGCACGCCCTTTTGTCAGTGCCTCTGCAACCCCTGGCCCAGCCGCTGCACGCCACACACCTGCACCCCCCTCCTGGCCTCCCCACAGGGCTTGTCTCCAGCAGCTGCTCAAGCACTTGGGGTCCGTGTGGCTGAGCCAGAGTCACCATCCCAGAGACAAGCTGGGTCCTCAGGGCCCCGGCCCATGATGCTGACAGGTTTTGAGCACCAGAAAAAACTACGGGGGTCATTCTAATCTGGGCCGACCTGACCCCTGGGGGGCCTCTGAGGTTTCGTGGGCGCTGGCCCCTGTTCCAGCAGCTGGGCTTCTAGGGGGCTGTGTGATTGTCCAGCTTTCTCTCCAGCAGTCAGAGCTCAAGTGGACTCCTAGCACCCCCGTTCCAACAGCCAACCCAGGAAACATGCACAGAGTACAAACACTAATAGAATTTTATTCAAACAAAGGCAGGAACAGTGACCTTCAAAGCTAAGTAAAAAAAATAATAAGTTAAAAGCATGGTTAGAATTTCAGACAATCACATACAAAGGCCTGAAGGAGGCGGTCTCCCCTCCTCTCCCACTCATTCAACATGGCGTACAGTTTCAATCTGCAAAGCCCCCTTATCCCCAAGCAAGTGAGCTGGAGGCAGCTCCAGGATTCCCTCGGCAGGCATGAAACACACGATCCACAGCCCCTCCCAACCTTTAAGGCACCGAGGGCCCAGTCCTGTTGAGGCAGGGGGTGGGCTCAGGTCAGCAGCCCACTGAGTCAGGGATGCTGGCAGGAGGTTCTTGGCTGCAAAGACGCCTGCCAGGGTCCCTTGGTCAAAAGATGGGTAGGCCCCGTGAGCGCTAGAACCACTGCCTCACTGTAGGAGGAAGAAGCCGGAGTCCCGGCAGGTGCCCCGGGCTGTGCCGGGCCTCTACTGCAGTCTGGGAATGGGTCTCAAGGCACCCACGGACTGGGCTGGCGGCGGTTTGAGGGCCTTCCCAGGCCTGAGGGAACCAGAGCTGGCTGAGGCCGAGGGAGGGCCTTAGGAGTCCTTGTGGGAGCACTGGGAAGAAAAGATCCGAGCGATCCTGCGTGCCTCCTCCTCGGGCAGGCTGGGAGGAAGCGAGCTGGGCCTGGGGCGACAAGGCCTTCTGGAAAGGGCTCCTCTGGCGGCTTCACTCTTGTCCTGCAGAGGAAGAAGTCGGCTCCATCAGCACTGAGGCGGAGGCATCAACAGGGCTGGCCTTGGCCCTCTCATCTGGGGGTCCTGGTGCTAATACTTGTGTAGAGCAACTGGCTCACGTGGCACTCAACACACCACATCCTGCTTAACCCTGACGGACTCTGTAGTTACGGTGTGTACATCATTCTCCCAGGTATAGCCCAGGGCGTGAGCGGCCGCGCAGACTGCTTGTCCCTCTGCGGGCGGGGCCGTCGCTGCCAGGATGCAGTATGGGGTGAGGCCTCGTCCCTTCCTGACTCCAGACAAGTCATTGTCCCTGAGTTGGGTCGCGTGTGTCCCAGCTGGGACCGTGTCCAGCTCCTGGTAGAGGATGCTGGTGAACAGCACTCTCTCCTCGGGGCCCCTGCAGTTCCTGGAGTGTTCAGGGGATGTGAGACCCACCGCCCTGCTACCAAACTCTCCGG